TGCTCAGCAGAGCTCTTGCCACTTTTACAGGATAATCAGTTCCCGGGTGTCATGTTTTAGAGTCTGTGTTAAACAACTGCCAGTGCAGATGCAATGCAGAACAGTGTGGAAAGTTAAAACTAGCAGGCTTTTCACTTCAGTTTTCATTTGAGGTTGGTCACTACTGAAACAAGTTTGATGTGAGCTCAGTTTGGTCCATAGGGAGAAGATTTGGCAATTTCATGAAGTTTTCATGGCTTAGGATAGGAGACAGTGTATTATAGGATCAGGAATATGTGCAGGTAGGAGTGTTCCAGAGCTAGTTCCTATTTTGGGTTACTGATATAGCAGCTCCATTTCCAGTTCTGAATGGGAAGTTGGCATTATTAAAGGCAATCCTAGAGAACCAAAGTCTTACTGGCTGCCTCATAGCAGTGGTGAATGTTTCAGTTGTGATTAAAGGTAGAGACATTATTAATGACAAACTGTGTTAGATTTTCCATCTGTGTGTACTTGAATGATCACAGGTACCTGAAGTCTATTGTGGAGACTATTTTGATACATCAACATTTTAAGAAACTGACTCCAGAACATCATACAGCCAAACAGGAACTTGTGGACTTCTGGATGGACTTCCTTGTTGAAGCCACAAAGACAGATGTGACTGTAGTTCGATTTCCAGTAAGTGGTTATTTTATTGTTGATTGGTTTTTCGCTTTTGTTATTTGATTGTTTGTTGTTTTTTTCCAAATCAATTGTGACATGAAAGAAATGAACACAAAGCACTGCTTGTTTTTTGGCTGCCAGACAATAAATTGCTTTTTCTGAAGAAATTTATTTGGCAAGGAAGACTCTACTGTTGAGCAGCAACAGCTTGAGGCAGTAAAGGGAAAGCAACACACGATGCTGTGGGGAGCCTGGTTCTGCTTTTCCAGAGCGAATGGGTGTAATATTTTGCAGGGAAGCAGAAAATATTTTGCATCCTCTGTTTTCTATACAAGACAAAACCATGTTCCTTTTAGATATTTTTTTAATGATGAATTGGTGTAGTTAGATATTTAAAGTAGCCTCTTACTGAAAAAACTGTCCAAATCAAATTGTTTAGATTTGTATTAATAAAGAGACAAGCTGAAGCTGATGGTTGCAATAGCATGAGCCAGAAGATAAACCCAGTGATCACAGAGTTTGCCCTCTACAGGAAATGGTTCTGGTGCTGCCGGCAGATGTACATGGTTTTTCCTAGTACAAAACCTGTTTGTGCACATTCAGAAGGAACATCAGGCCATTCAACAAGTCAGCAAAAGGAAACGTAACTCTTTTTCCTCCCTTCTCCCAAATTTTTGCAAGTAACTTACTCTAAAGGCAGGTTGGTTGTTTTGTTGTGTTTTTGTGTTGTTTTTTTTCCCCCAGATTTCCTTACTGTGAATTGTTCTCAGAACTTGAACTTAAGGACTTCACTGTCTATCAGTACCAGCTTGGCTGTCAGTTCCTCTCTTAAGTGGTAGCATCAGTGTCATTGCCCTGATTTCAGCCTTTAGAGGGAGAGATGATACAGTATGTAGGTAACCTGCTGTAGGCTAAAGACCCCAATTAGTGAAATGGCCAAAACCCGATTTTAGAGAGAAGTTTCTGGAGATACCAAACAGCACATTTGAAATCCCACTGGTCATCATTAACAGAGTTAAATGCCTAAGTACTTTTCAAATTTGGTCTTGCACTTCTTTAAGTGTGTCTGTGTGCTCATTGACTCTGTAGGAGGTGACATGGCTTAGGTTTGACTTGAAGCTATGGCTCTTTCCAGGACTTTCTGCTGAAGTGTTAGTATATTTTTTTGAACCGATGTAGACCAAATTTTCACAGTCAGTTATTTCCTAAAGCAATTCTTTGAACTAAAAAAAAAAATTCAAATGAGAAGTTCTGTATCTTGGTTATTTTGAAGATGTTTGGTTGGCAGCATTTATGGGAGAGGGAAGGACAGAAGAAAAGAAGTTGTTGTTAACCATCTGTAACTTAGTTCTATTTTATACATGGCTTTCAGCTAAACACAGAGCTGGAAATCTTCCTGTGCATGCTAGAGTGCAAGGGCTTTTTCTTGAATTTAATAACAATGTTTTACATTCTGAAAATGAGAATACCTTCAACTGAGGCAAGATAGATTTGATATTTTTGACATAAAATTTTTACCACTGACGATCTAAAATAAATAAATACTTCTCATACAAAACCACACTTCTTCAAATAGCCAAACTATTGACTTTTTCCGTTAAAGCATGCTGGAAGCTTTAAAGATCTGGAAGCAATTCTGGCAGAACACAACTGAAGTGGCAGAGTGGCTGCCTTCATTTACTAAGGGGTTGCATTAGACTAAACCCCTCTGCATTGCATCCCAGCCTTTTCACTTGGTGGTTCTAGTTTTTGTTTCACCTATTCCAGGAAACTTTCTACAGTCTTTAGCTGTCAGCCCCTTTGAGAAGTCACTTGATCTAGTGGCCACAGTTCAGAGTGGTCTAAAACAAAAGCAGCTTAGTCTAGCTCTGGGTTGATGGGTATTTCTGATTTACCCAAATGCACTTGTGTCAAAAGCTGATAAAGGTATGCCAAGAATCCTGTCCATGGGAGAGAGGGACATTCCTGAATGGCATTGCGAGAGAATGAATTGTGACAAAGATTTCAAAATGGTTGTTAGAGAAATTGTTTGGAAAATTATGGTATGAGCTGCCAACTGACACGTAATGGTTTTATACAAAAAACCTAAATTAACAATGGCTTTCTGTTTTTTCATCTTATGTTGTTGTCAGCCATACTAAATTAGTCCAGTACCTAAATTGTTACCTTTTATTCTGTTTCTTCTCTTCTTCCTGCTATGGTATGACTGCAGAAATAGTTATAACAGATTTTAATACTTAAAGTTCTATATATTTTGTACTAATTCTTTCTTTCTTTCTTTCTTTTTTTTTCAAGGTTTTAATACTAGAACCAACAAAAATCTACCAGCCCTCATATCTGTCCATCAACAGTGAAGCTGAGGAGAAGACTGTCTCTATCTGGCACGTGCTGCCTGATGACAAGGTACACCCTCATGTTCTCTGCAGCCGCAGCTTTTTTCCCAGTCTGACAGTATCCGTGGTGCAGAAGGCATATAACCAGTAAACAGATGCATCTAATGGTGGATTCTGGAAAGGAGAAAAGTGTTTCAGTAACACACAGGAAGATGCTCTGGAAATATCTTGCCATGCATTTTATTTTTTTTAATATGACATTCTAAAATTTTGCTTTAGGTTTGTCCTGTTTCTTCAGTAGATTGTCTCAGTTTTTAAAAAATAACTTGCATCTTCTTTTGGGTAGTTTTAAACCAGTGTATAATATGCAACAAGTCCATTGCTTCAGATTTCATAACTAATTTACAGAACACTGTTACCATACAAATAATGTAGCATAAAATTGCAAGTCAGCTTGGAGTAACACCCATCAGAAGAAGGCAGTGGGCAGTTTGTTAGTTACTTACCCCCTCAGTTGGACAATTATTTGCTGCTGTTGCAAGTTTTGTCAAAGTCAGAAACTTTACAGGGAGAAAAGGGACTAGAAAAGCTTGGAGAAACCAGCTTCCTTGTAACTTAAATATATTCAGTATAGTTGTCCTTGATAAGAGATTTTGTGGAGGAAACAGACGTATTCTCTGTGAAGAGGAAGACTCTTACTTTGATCCTTACTGGGCTGAAAATGGGCATTTTAGTGTCTCGTTAAGAAGCCAAGATCACCTATCCCTACTGCAAGGGCTGGGTTGAAAACTTCTTGAACTACCTAGTTTCAATCTACCATAGGTCTGTCAGAGCTTTGCCAGCTCACACTTCATATTTTGGTTCATTTTGGCTCATAAGGCATGGTTCTAGTTATTTTCCAAAATTCAATCAATGCTCTAAGAATAACAATTGTGAGTTACGAAGTGCATGAACTTCCTTATAAGCACAAAGAAACTGAATTTCTGTTTTGAGTCCAGTGGAGCCTGCAGCTGGAAATTTTGTAATAAATAGGCAAATGACAGTCAATACCAGAATAAATAATGTAGTCTCTTCCTTCTCCTTGGCTTTTTTAGCAATATTTATGCCTTTAATAATACCAAGTTCAACATGAACAAATGCCTATAAAAATCAGCATTATATTTTGTGGAATGCACGTTACCTTTGCCTTGCAGTTCCCTACTTTTAACAGCCCTTTCCACATGGGGTCAGAGGAATGCAGTAGTGCTGCTTGCAAGTTGGAAAGAAGCCTGTGTTTCATGTTGGCTTCTGAATCTGCTGTGAGTTTTGTTTTGGGTGGTTGATGGTTCTTTGCCTAACGAAAGAACAGCTGCCGAATTTGGATAGCATGTCTGGTGTATTTACTCCAGAGTATTCAAAACTTGGCAAGATCATGAGGGACGTAACTTTTACATTATTTCACTGCCTGGGAACTTTGTGTGGTAAATAAAAGAAGCATGCATTTGTGAGAGATTAGTTGCACATAGATGACAAGTAAAACCCACAATACTTAACCTTCTTGTTATGCTTCTTGAGCATTTCTGCCTGTCAGGGTGTATATTTTAACTTATTTAGACTTTGGATTATTCCCAGTAGTGGAATCATGAGCTAAAGTATCAAGAGCTAAAATCCAAAGATAGTTTCCAAGCATGGAAAATTGGAAAGTGGCAGAGTATATGGAGGAAGGAGTAAAAGACAGTGCAGATACACCCTCCTGATTAGCAGTGCGATGGAGCTGGTGATTGTTCTTCTTGCAAGAGAACCAGGCAACCTGAATTGAAGTTTCACAAATACTTTGTATTAGCATCAGTTAGCACCCCCACTTCAACATGCAATCCCACCTTTTCTAAACAGCAGGCTGTTCTCACTGGAGAAACCCGTCCCGCCATGTAGTATTGAGGAGATGTGGGAGGTGTTGCTTTGTACTTTACAATTTCAGTAGCGTGAAGCCTGTGCTTCAAGAAGGATGTTTGCTTGTATTATTGGTATGCTGTGTTATGCATTTTATATTATCATCACAACCTTCAGCGTGATTTGAGCAGGCAGGAAAGAATTACAGAGGAGGAGAATATTTATGTACAAAGCCTTACAAAAAGCTGTTACAGCTGGGAGAATGGCTTCCTCTATCATGCACATTGTGCAGCTGGTTTGGCAGTATGTCTGTTCTGACCTTTGTATATTTCACTATTCATGGTATGTTTTATAAGCTACAATTTTCCTTACTACTTCTTTTGGAATACATTTGGTTATGTTTGTGTTTGACACTATGCTCTTATGCTATGAATTACCTGTCAGCAAGAAATGTTCCCATGCCTTTTGGTTGCTCAGGTCACTAAAATTCCAAATGAAATTAAGCTCTAGAAAGTGAATGTATTGCTCATTGTGGTGGGATCCAAGGTTGCCAGCACTTTGAGGTGGTGCAGTTCTACCTTTTCCTGAAAGGAGAATGTTTTCTTTAGAAGATACAAAAGGGTTCTGTTTCCCACTGTGAGGTTTTATTAGAACGTAAACATAGAGCATTATGACTGCCTACAGAGAGAACTCAGTTCTGCTGAATGTAACAGATTTGCTCCTTCTCTGAGTGCTTCCTCCTCCTTCTCAAGAATTTCCCACTTTGCTCTCCAGTGTCAGACCTCCTGCTTGTGGCTCTCTTGGCCTGGTCTTCCCTCACCCAGGAGCACTGGACATGCAGAGCAGGCTCTTGTTATTCTCAGAGGTGGGATTTTCCCCTCACCCACTTTCCAGAGGGCCACATATGGCCCCAGGTTCAGCATCCAGGCCAGACTTACCTCACAGCCCTTCTGATCTGCTGGTTTGCATGCTTTCTAAAATGATATATTGTGTTTACAGAGTAAAAGGTGAAGAAACAAACCAAGCAAAACTTCTGTCTAGAACTTCTGCTGCTTTGGGTTAGGGATAAAAAAAAACCAAAAAATGCATTGAAAAATAAGTGTTAAAAGGTAACAGGCTGTTGTAATTCCAGTGCTTCTCTTGCCATCTTTTGAATTTCAGCCTAGGAGATGTGCTTACTGGCACTTGGTTCATAACAAGGAATGGTTTATTTATTTGTTTATTTACAGAAGGGTATCCACGAGTGGAACTTCTGTGCTGCTTCTATCAGGGGAGTAAGGTAAGTTGATTCCCTTTCATGTTTCCAAATTAAAAGAGTAGTTGAATGAATATTGTGTTGAGCTCCTGTTATTACCTTGGGAGAATAACAGACACAGAATTGGTGCAGAGTATTGCAAGTACTGGCACAGGTGCCCAGCTCTAAGTGAAGCCCTTGTAGTCTTGTTCTGGTTTCAGAAATGACCACTTGCAAGTTCATTATGTAAGACCTGGCAAACATAGCCCATTGAATTGAAGAACTAGTAATTTTTGAAAGTTGGTAGTCACTTACTTTATGCTAATTCAGATTGAACTAAAGTAACTGTGAGTGTTTCATATCATTTTACCTGAGTTCTGTCACGTCTAGGAGCTGCCAGGTGCACAGAATGTGTAAGCCAGGAAGTAACATGTGGATGCAGAGCAGGAGAATGTGAGGAGCTGACAAGATCAGGATATCCCACAATATCCAAATTTGCTCACCTGTTGTTCGGTTTTTGTCTGTGTGTACATTTGGGTTTGTATTTGTTGTTTCTGTGTCTGTTTATGGGTATGGCAGCAAAACTTCTTTAAAGAACATCTGCAGGGAGAGGAGTCTGTCAACTTGGGTTGTAGCACAGCTGCAAAGTGAAAACTTGAGGTCAACAGAAGAAGGAAAAAACAAAAAAAACCAAACACCCCAGCAACCCCTGACTTCCCAATGATTCTTGTGGAGTAGGTTAACATGGAATAATAAATCACAGAAGCAGGAATGGCATGTGCAAGACTGGCTTGACTGGGTTAGAAGAGAGGTTATACCTTCAAGGCCACCTTTCTTTTCTCCTGCACACTTCCCTCTTTGGGATGGGGCTTGTGAGAGAATGACAATGGAGGAAACTTTGTCACATGTTTGCTTGATTTCAGCAGACTATACACCTCCCATCACATGGAGTCAGAACTTGGAGGCTTTTTGTTTCTAACATCTGATGAGAGGTGTATAGTCTGCAGTTTGCTCTAACCACAGGTCTGTGCCTCAGTTTCTCTATTCGTAAACCCACAGAATAATACAGAGCTGTGTCAGTAGAGGATGTTTTTAGTCTACCAGGGAGAAATGTTTGCTGGATTATGTGCCATATTGTCAGTAGAGAGCAGCCAACTCTGAGCTAGTGGATGTCCTGTGCTAGCCCAGGTTGTATGTAGAGTGCACCCTGTCTGGCAGGGTCCAGCCTTGCAGTTTGTATCTTCTGATATTGAGAAAGTAGTGTTCTGCTTCTCCTGTGACCACTTTGGGTCAGTTCTTCCTCTTAGTATCTTTTTTTTATTTTTTCCCCTAGAATTTGTCAATACTTTGGCATCCTACAACTTTCTACTTTGGTGTTTGCTTTTAGTGTAATTAAAAAAAACAAAGTCCAGAAATCTTACTGTTTTAATAGTATAGCTCTGTTCTAATAATAAGTGTTCCATACCCATAAAACTCTTTCTGTGTCTGCAGAACATTCGTACACAGATGGATGATTCTTTTTCCTTCCAAAAAGTAACTTAAAAAACCCCAATCTATCAATAGACACAGCAATCCTGTGGGATTTTATTTATTTTTGGCAAGAATTGCAATGATACACTTAGTTCAGTCTGGTTTGGTTTTTGGTTACAGTATTTGTGTGCTCCTAAAAAAAGACAAAGTATTTATTTACTGTCCTTTCTTTTTTTCTTTCCATCCCCCTTATTAAACCACACTGTGGTCAGTACTATTTCTGGTGCACCCACCTGGATTTGTTCTTTAAACTGTCAATTGTCATTTAATTTGTCAATTACATTTCCAATCTGTTCCTCTGGACAGATGTCCAAGACAACTTAGAAAACTTAACAGTGAGCCAAGAGTCACTGTGAATTCTTAGAAAACTGTGGCTGCCTCCTTGAGGAGCTGCAGTGGGAAATCTTTATCTTATGCAAGTATAAAACTGAATAAGCCTTTTTTTTTTTTTTTTCTTACTTCTTCCAAATGTATGCAAGTTTCTGATCACTTAATTTTTCAGTGTTTTTCAGGGTTTTTTTCTCCCTGATTATATGAATGCAGGTATTCTTTGGCATGGGATAGCCTTCAGACCCAGACCTGCTTCTAATTTATTTTTGAATCAAGACCGTATTTGGCTCTTTTTAAGCTCCTAGACTTAAAGCAGTCCAGGAAGGGGGGAATTCCAGCTTTAGAACGATCCTCAGCCTTTCAAGGCTAGTAAGAGTCAGCTTGAGAAGTGCAGCCTTAACATACAAGGCAGGTCTTTGTACGCGATCTTGGAGGCTTCTTCAACAAAGACCTCCATAAATATTTACTGTGTTGCATAAGGAGACAGCAGGTCTGAAGAGACAGCGAACAGAAATGGCTGATGGTTTTGGTAAATACTTCAGAAAATGACTGAGTGATCACTTTTTCTGTGTGCTGTATGTCAGCTGATGGTAATTAGCATCTTATTTCCTGAGTTATAATAGAACTCAGCTCTCAAGAATTGCGAAGGGACTGAAAAAGCATAGAGAGAGTTCTCTGAGCAGCAGGGTGCTAAATCACACTCAGTGCAGGCAGTAGAGTCATTTGCTTTGGCTTAGTAAACCAATTGATTAACAGTTTGTGTGCCGATGTAAGTAACTGCTCTTGTCATATGCCTCCTTGACCTCCTAAACACAAATGTTTATTATTGAATTGGGCCAAAAAGCACCGTCAGCCTTAAAGGCTTCATCAGAGCTTTCGGAACACGGCTGCTCCTCTAAGGTGCTTTGCAGCTTAGGATACCCAGAAAAGTCCTTTGTGTTCTGCAGAACTGATGTCAGATGAGCAAGAAGGGTACCCAATTTATTCTTCCAATTTTTAAAAATAAAAAATAAAGTAGCAGGCTGAAGTTGCTAGACTACAATTTGGCTTTTTCTCAGTGTTTGGGAGAAGACCTGGATCATGAAATGAGTGCAGTTTTGCAGTTCCTGTGGGAGGGTGCCCCAGAGGTCCCGCTGGTGAATCTACGGTTAGAAATGGTGAAAAAGTTGGGATTCAGGTTTGCATCCAGTTTTCTTTATAGCTTGAGAATTGATAAGGATCTTCATCCTCCATCCCGAGTTCTCAAAGCTTGGAATCTCTTCAGACTACATCATTAGGAGAGTAGGAGCTGTCTATACTGCTATGCTTCTAGCAAACAGACACAAGTTCCATGGAGCTGCTTTTCCGTGGTTGCTGCCAGTGCTCTACTGTTTTATCTGCTGCTTCATCTGAAAGTACTAGCAAGCAGTAGTTACAGCATTTGCAGTGTTTCTCGCTGACCAAGGGGAGTTGTGGATGCACACGAGCTGGGCACAAGGCCACACTGCATCATGCTTCCCCTTTGTCTTTGAAGTTTTGCAAATTCAGCCCCAATTCTGCTGTGGTGGAAGTCAGTGGGTACTGTGTGTGCTGGGAATGTCAGGATAAGGCATTTCTTCAACACAAGTCTCTTTAACTGGGTATTTTTTAGTCTTCCTTTTTTCACAACTTCTTTTTTTTCAGGGAGGAAAGCAACATATAAGCACTGTAAATGATCACTTAAAGGCCTTAAATATTTATGGACTTGCCTGCCCTCTGTGTACACTCCACATTCTTACCCTTTTATTCATTGCTGTGTTAGTCAGTGGGGTCAGTACATATCAGGTTTAAGCTGGCAGTTTAATCAGTAAGATATTTGAACTCAGCTGGAACTTGAAATGAATGAGTAATTCTTTTAGTATCAGTTACTCCATATCTGGAGAGTGTAACTATATTCTTGAAAAACTTGAATTAAAAGTTAGTTTCTAAACTGGGGACAGTGACTGTCTTCCCAGATGTGGTTATTACTTAGCACTTAGGAATTTTTCCTAATGTAAAAATAAATGAGTTACCATACCCAAAGACTAATATTCTTAAAATTAAGCTTGCTGTTCTCATAAGTAGCTTTATGAAAGGCAGGCCCTTCAGCCTGTCTAAAGAGCCATTTTTTTTCCTAAAGTTACAGGGCTTTGCCAAAGAGGAATCATAAAAGGAAGCAAGGATCAGACTACAGTAGACACCTAGTAAAGGTTGAAAATTATTTCCTGGTATTTAAAGAAAAACTGGTGTTAATACAATCATTAATCCTTTGGCACAACATAGAATACTATTCTACTTTCTTGCACTGTAAATTAATGAAAAACGTGGCTTTCTTGATCAGTCTCAAATAGATTGATTTCACAAGGACTGTGAATTTTGTCCGGTATCCTAGGAATGTTAATAAGGACACTCAATTTGTCTTAGTTTATCAAGTACTACATTATATTATATAGTAAGCTCTCTAGCCATCTTTTTTTCCCCCTTCTAATATAGTGACAGTCAATTGCACTGCATCAGTTTGACACCTGGCACTCAGATGTGACAAAGTTACAGGAAGGACTATTTTAAATAATGCTTAATATTTTCTATAAGGAACACAGTAATGAAATGCATATAGAACAATTCTGGTGAATGAGTATCTTTGCAAGAGCTGCAGCCTGCTTGGGGTAGAAAACTGACCAGAATTTGCACGTTGTCTTCTTTTCTGTTGAGACATCTGTGTGTCTGAAAGGAAATGGTCTGTGTGTTTCTTCATTGTCTTTGTTCTCCTGTTATAGCAGATAAAACTAAAGCTGAAGAAAAGCATGAGTGGTCATGGGTGGTAAAGCAATTCACCTCATTTTTTGGTTAATTTTAAATATTTTTCAAAAATACTATCAATATACTAGTTCACAAGGAACCTATCAGAATTTTTTGTGTTCAGGATTGAGCTGTGACCAACCTCAAAAGTGGGAAGAAATAATGATTTTCGTTCCAAGCCCAGCTTCCTAATGTAACCCTGAGTGTTTCATCCTGGCTGCAGGAGTGGAAATCAAGGGCCTTACCTACATGTACTGAAGACAAAAATGACTCAGGTCAATGGAAATAATCCTGTTAACCTCTGTTCCTGCTCTTCCTTGGGCACTGTGTGGACTAGGGGCCCAGCTGAAAGAAGCAACCAGCAGAGTGGGAGCTTTAAAGGGTAGAGAAGTGTAGCTTTACAGTGAGCAAAAGCTATGTCAGCTGAGGTTGATTCTGCTGCTTTCCAGTACGAAATGGGTGGCTCTGCATGGTTTGGCAGGGCTGGTGGTTGTCTCAGAGCATCCCCCGATAACATGCTCTGCTTGGCTGCTCTTTCAGCATTTCCAAGTTTGAAGAGCGGTGCTGTTTCCTCTACGTGCTGCATAACTCGGACGACTTTCAGATCTATTTCTGCACAGAACTTCATTGCAGAAGGTGTGTCACTGCTGTTATTTCAGAAAAAAGCCAACAGCCTGTGGTGGGGTGGATGGTGTCTGCATGCACAACAGGGACTGGCTGTTCAGAACTATGGTGGAAGTTGATCTGAGCATCCTCAGTGATCACCACCTTTCACACCAAAGCTTAATGTTGCAGTACCCTGGAGATGTATGAGGTTGGAAAGGTCAAAGTGCAAGCTCAGACAAACATTAGAAACAAATATGATTGCCAATTTTATTATCTTTTTTGTGGGATTATTTTTGTAATACTAATCCTATTAAGACTTACTGCAAGTGTTTGTTGAACCCCAGTCCAACAAGGCATCCCAAAATTAAAAGGGACCTTCTGAAGTGGGAACATTTGGGGTTACAACAAAGTCTGGTCAAGATTCCTCTTTTACTGTAACTAAAATTTTATTTGCAATTACAAAGAAGCATGCTTGATTTCCCTTATATTAGAATCATGTTTACATAAGTAAGATTGTAGCAGTATCCCTACCAAAAACTTGGCAAGGGGTGTCTCAGATTCTCAAAGTTGTATTTCTACTCCATGAGTTTGAGGACTGTAGTCTTGAATTGATCCAGAAGGCATTCCAAGAGGAAATTCCATGTATTTTTGTGCTAAAAAAGCCTGCAACTTTGCAAAAATCACAGCAGCATTCTGTATTACTGACTGTGGCCACATCCTGACCTAATCTCTACTTCGGTTAATTCATTATCTCAGAGGGAAGTGTTCTCTTTGTCCCCATATTGTCTCACCTGTATTTGCTTTTCTTTTCATCTCCTTTTTAACAGGTTTTTTGACATGGTCAACAGTATCACTGAAGAAATAGGGAAGACAGCAGAGGAAGGGGAATGTGACGGAGATTCTCTAGAGGTATTTTTACTTCCCCACCCAACATACAAAGGGTTTTGGGGTTCTCATGCAGCATTTCACTGAAGGGAGTAAGGTATCAGTTTTCTTTCTGGAAGAAGTTTAACAAGTTACTGTTTGCAAAATTTTCTCTTCTACTGTTTATAAATTAATGATTCTTTTAAATGGTCCTCATGTAGTTTTAATAGCCAGCATAGCTAAATCTCTCAGTTAGTAAACTTGCTTGAAAGGGTACTCAACTTGGAAATTCTTCAGCTGTGCTTATTACAGAGTGACTCTTGTAACAGCTACTTCAGAGCATAAGTTATAGCCATGCAGCATTAGCATCTGTTTTAAAGACTTTAAATTTTAAAGACTGTTTGTTGTCTGATCCGTGCACCACTGGAATAGTGCACACTGACGTCGTTGTCAGTCATCTGCACAACAAATAAAGGCTATAACTGTGGCAGGGGAGAGTTTGTCTTTGCCAGCTCCTGTCTGTAGGTGAGCACAGCCACGGACAGCAAACTGCAACCCGATGCTGCTGCTGAGAGTCTGTCTATACCCCTCACCCACCAGCTCTCTCCCCCTGGACCTTGGGGTGCCCTGTTGCTGCTGCCATCCCCTAGCTGAGGTACCTGAGGTGCAGCATGCCTGGGTGTGCCACTGCACCCTGCATTCCCACCTTGGCTTCTGCACATACACAGAGCTGAAAAGGGAGTGCAGAGCCAGCAATGCGATACTTGGGGCATTTAGGCTTTTTTTAGGTGGCAGGGAACACAGAATCACAGAGTGGTAGGGGTTGGAAGGAACCTCTGGAGATCACAGAATGGTAGGGGTTGGAAGGGACCTGGAAAAGATCATCTAACCCAACCCCCTTGCTAGAGGCGCTTACACTGAGACATATCCAAGTGGATTTGGAATGTCTGCAGGGATGAAGACTCCACAGCCTCCCTGGGCAGATTTTTCCAGTGTTTTGTTACCCTCAAAGTAAAGAAGGATTTTCTTGTGTTTGGGTTAAACCTCCTATGTACCATTCTGTGTCCATTATCCTGTCCCTGGACACCCCTGAGCAGAGTCTGGCCCATCCTCCTGACACCCCCTGTAGATATGGATCAGCACTGATCAGATTCCCCCTCAGCCTCCTTGTCTCTCAGCTGAACAGCCCCAGCCCTCCCAGCCTTTCCTCACAGGCAGATGCTCCAGCCCTTTCAGCATCTCAGTGCCCTGGGCTGGACTCTCTCCAGTAGCTCCTTGTCCTTCTTGAACGGGGGAGCCCAGACCTGTCCCCAGAGCTCCAGGTAAGGCCTCACCAGGGAGAACCTCCCTGACCTGCTGGACACACTCTTCTTGATGCACTGGCCTCTTGGGGCACGTGGGAACAGGATATGATACCTAAGCCCATGTCCTATCACATGAAAACCTTGTGTCCTGAAGCTCTAGTGACATCCAGAACTGAGAGAGTCAGTGCTAGGTAATGAGTACAGCCCTTTGTCCCAGTTCTGGTGCTAGCATTCTGCAGTACATCTGAAATAGGAGATGGGGCAAACAAACCAATCAAGTGACTTGTGGTTTCCTTATAATGCCCTATAATGAGAACCTTAGGGTGCCTAATTTCTTTATTTTAGCAAAAAGAAAAGCAGTGGGTGAGTTGATTACAGTGGATAAGTATTTTTACAGGGAAAATGACTGTGCTAATGGTCTCTTTTAATCTATTGAAGAAAAACAAAATTAAATACAAGGACACCAAAGAATTTTGAATTAAGAGGCATGACTTCACCATGAGTAATTAATTGTTGAAACAAAGTAGTAAAATAAATAGTGGATTCTTTCTTTATTCAAAGATCAATCTTTATTTAGAAGAAAAGAAGAAATACCTAGGCATGAGCTACTGGGCTTACCATGAGAGTGAGGGTGTGAAATCACATGTCTGTGTTACACAAGAGGCCAGGTCAGATAATCTGCCTGCTGACTGTTTCTTGACTGGCCTTTTAAACTCTTGAAATTCAAATTCAGCCGAAACCAGGCTCCATCACACAGTCCTGACTCACCTCCAGGGCACGCTCTGCTGGCTGACCTCGCACTGGCAAAGCTGAGGTGGTGCTGTTTTTGGAAGGTGTGGTCAGGTCAGGAGAGCATCTGTAGCACATGAACATACCTAGCATACATATCCCGCCTTGCTCTGATGTCTCCGGCTGGTGCAGAGGGCCCTCTGTCGTCTTCTCGTTATCACAGCGCCTGCCAGCAGAACTGCAAATGCTGTTGAATAAGACAATTATCACTTGTATGGAACAGATAAAAGCTCCCTGTGCTGTTCACCCCTTCTGCCCTGGGAGCCAGTGCTTCTTGCACAGTCAGGGGAAAAATGCAGGCATGTCTGCATGGAATCACTGTTGTCTTCTTGAAGGGCTTTTCTTTCCTTCTCCATAGTCTGCAGAAAGCAACTCACATCCTAGATGCCTCAATTATGAGCAGGGCGTCAGATGGAATAAATCCCCTTATCCCGCTCTTTAATGTCACCTTGTTTGCTTTGCAGTATGATTATGAATATGATGAGAACGGCGAGCGAGTCGTCCTGGGGAAAGGCACCTATGGCATCGTGTATGCAGGGCGAGACCTGAGCAACCAAGTCAGGATTGCTATCAAAGAAATTCCCGAGAGAGACAGCAGGTATAGTACCTGGGGTTGATTCCAAGTCTTGTGCCTTCTGTAGCTTCATCTCTAACGTGGCCAGGCAGCCTGCTAATCAGGGGGTACCTCTTCTGCAAAGCTGCCAGTAGCTGACCTCTCTGTGGTATGTAAAGGTGTTTCCTCTCTGTGGTATGTAAAGGTGTTTCCTCTCTGTGGCTAGCTGCAGGGGAGATGTTGGTCACAGCTGAGAATACATGTTTGCTGGTTTTGGTACTAGTAGTTCATAATCCTTTCTCTTTCCAACAGAAATGTTGCTAAACTGCAGAACACCTAATGATAAGCCCTGTCTATCTAGACATGCTCAGGCATATCCTTAGAAAAGAGGCATTGAAACTCATTATTTGTGGAGTCCTTTAAAATTCTGGGCCTGAATTGCTACTAAAGACATTTTCTTTTCCTGTTTATGCGTCATTTATTATGAAGTCCCTTAACATTAGAGTAAGTCATGTAGGCTGATCTTTTTGACCATGATTTTCTAATGCTCCTTTTCCACAAATGGTGGTTTTACCCCCTGGGACATGGATTGTAGATGGAAGTGAGAACAGCAGCCACTCTGGTGGGTTAGAATAGCTTCTGGAATTTACTGTTTTGAATACTAGCACCCTCTTTAAGATGAGTGCTATGTAGGATGAGTAAAACCAACTTCCTTCCTGATTATTGTTTTGTAGATTGAGCACTGCACAAACAAGGACGTAGTTATTTCCTCCTGCAGAGGAAATGCAATGAGGCAAAAGATGGGAAATCCTGATGAAGGACTATCTTTCTTCTCCTATACACATTTTATAAGTATTGTCGATGGAAAAAGTTTCAGGTTCAATGTGCAAAGCATACTGGAAAAGAGGTTATTAGGAAGCTGTTAGTCTTTCATCTGGACTTTCAAAAATACAGGCTTCCAGGACAAATTTTGACTATTACTCCTAACAGCAAACTGAGAAAAACATATAATTTCTGATCAAGTATAATCTGATCTTTTAGCACTTTGAAAGAAATCTATAGAAAGAAAAGGAGTAATCTCTGAAGTTCATTGTTAACATTTCAAAGAAAAAATTATAATCTTTTGGATTTGTAACAAATAAACTTGATAGAGCGTGGCCAGAAATACAGTAGTTTCTGTGCAAAAAGCAGCGAGTCTTCAATACTGCTGGATGTTAAATATAAGCTGCTGAATAGTCTACTTAGTTGTCAGGGAGCATTAGCCTATGGAGACACATTCTGAAGGAAAAGGAATAATTCCTGCAGTGATGTTGCCCTCAAATGCATTTGCAGGACTACAGAAGAGTAACAGTGGCCACATCCACTTCACAAGTTACAGTAAAATCATGTTAGGTAGATGAGATCTAGCTTTCTAAGATTTAGAGTTTTGCTTTCTTTCTACCATTTAAAGTCCTCTAATTAAATTCTAAAATAATAATTGCTTCATCCCACTGGAAAAAAAAATGATGGCTTAATTTTGTTTGCTAAATTATTTTAGTTGCTTGAGACTCAATTAACTGTGCAGTTTAAAACTGCATGGAAAAGAATTATAATGGTTTTGCAGTTGCTGCTCTGAATGTTAATAGATCTCAGGAATATAATCTCTGATTTTGCATTTCCAAATGATTAACAGTGTAGACAGAATCTCTGTAGGCCTCTGAGGGAGACGCAAGCCAAAATTCAAATTGGTTTTAGTGAATAGACTTGGAGATGCATAATCACACTTCTCGTTAACCAAATACTTGCCTTGTTTTCTGTAGCAGTTGTTTCCAGAGGGATTTTCAGATCCTCACTTTTTTTTTTTCCCCCCTCCACTTCTTTAAGAGTTCAGCCTCCACTTGTAGCTTGATTCTGTTTGGGTGAGCTGGTAACTACCTGTCCCCAAAGGGCATGGAGCTCACATGCACTTTTTCCCTAGCAGCTTCAGTGGCATTTGTGCTGTGATTGCCTTCCTGGCACTGGCTGGGTCCAGGGAGAGGAAACTGCTGGACTGGAGGCAGCAGGAAGATACCCTTCCTTCCCCCCACCCCAAAGAAATACATTAATTACAATTTTTCTGCCAGTTCATTAGTAGATGAGAATACGCCAGCATTAGTGTGAAGTCTGTGCTGATAGCAACCTGCTGAAGGTGGAGGTGGCAGTGAAACTGCTCCTCTGGTGACAAGGAGCTGCGCTGTTGGATTTGCAGTTGTATTTAGCCCTCCCTCAGTATAAACATCTGCACATGTCTTCCACTTGCTCAGGACTCTGCAGCTTTTTCTCACATCTGTTCTGCCAGAAGGAGGTCTGTATCCATCATCTCTCTCAGCTGCCCTGTAAGTCTGGGCTGCAGATGGTAGTGCTTTAGTTAAAACAGCCACCAGACTCCCAGCACATTGTCCACCTTTGGCCAGACAGCATCTGGGATCTGGCAGCTGACCTGCTTCCAACTCACCCATGGTTGGAAGAAAAGCGTTAGGGCTGGCCCAGGGAGCACATCAGCTGCTGGGGTCTAGTTGTGTTCCACCCTGGAGCAGGATCTGGATCTCGACAAAAAGACTGCCGAAAAGCTTAATTCTCTGGAAAATATTTTACAGTGGACAGGATTACATTTGATGGAATTGTTTTTGTCATTTTTCCTGAACATCTTCCCGTGAAATGATTCCTTCTTTTCCTACTCTGGTAGCTGCCACTTTTGCTTTCAGCTACTCCTACTTTAATTAATTAAAATTTAAACGGTGGTTTGTTTTCATTAGTTAGGTGATTTTAATGGTACACTAACTTTATTATTTACTAGTTCACTTTGGCATTAGGCTGAATCAAACCCCTTTCCCAGCTATGCAGTCGCTTTGAGTTAGGTTGGAGAGTTTGTTTTCCACAAACTTTGTTTTGGTCAGTCTATCAATGTACATTTATAAAGCTGTGTGTGTGTATACATAGTATTACATATATTTGATATTTATTTTGCTTAAGTATAGTCTCACAGACTGCTTTGGGTTGGAAGGGACGCTAAAGATTATCTAGTTTTAACCCCCCTGCTGTGGCCACAGTCAACAGGAGACTTTCTTCCCAAAGGTCAATATTGAATAAACTGCTTCTTTTATTTGCAGGTACTCCCAGCCTCTGCATGAAGAAATAGCTTTGCATAAGCATCTCAAACATAAGAACATTGTCCAGTATTTAGGTTCTCTGAGTGAGAATGGCTTCATTAAGATATTCATGGAACAGGTGCCAGGGGGTAAGTTGTGGGGGAGACTGGTTTGGCAATTGGTGGGTTTGTTTTTTAAACATTTTAAATGCATAAGAACCGACAGCACTGCAGCAAGGTATCTTTCATGCAAATGTAATATTCTTTAATGTCTCTCCCCTAAACTAATGTGGAAAGCAGTGTCTTCCAAGTGCTTGAGTCCTCTCATTCAGTATTTAGACAGGATGTGCTCCAGGTAGAGCCCAGCTCGGTGCTATGGCAGGCGAGCTCCTTGTACCTACAGGTCAGAGATGATCTGGGGCCATCCTGCTAGAAAGCAGGCCCTAGCAGGTTGGCCAAGTGGGTTCTGATCTGCCTGCTTGAGGAAGCCTATGCTTTTGTGCTGCAGCTGAGGGCAGTGGACATACTGAGACTCTCTTCTGAGTTACTCAAGGCTGTTGATGATGCAAGTAACCTGGAGAGGCCTGTGGTTATAGAAGAGGTGGCTACACTTGGTATAGGGTTGATGTTTAGTGTTGGTTTGTGGGGTTTTTTTGTTGTTGTTTGTGTTGTGGTTTTTTTCCTTCAGAGAAGAAGGCAGAATTTAATTTGATTTTTACTCTCACTTGTTTGCTCTCCAAAATTACAGGCAGCCTTTCTGCTCTTCTACGATCAAAATGGGGACCATTAAAAAATAATGAGCAGACCATTGGCTTTTATACCAAGCAGATTCTTGAAGGATTAAAATACCTCCATGATAATCAAATAGTGCATCGAGATATAAAGGTAAGAATTTGCAGGGAATTTACCTGGTAGTGTTGTGTAGCTGCACAACCATTTATTTGTCCTCTCATTAAAAAAAAGTATTTTCTGAAAGTTCTTCACTGTCACATTTCTTCTCTGCTGTTCTAACTGTGAGTTAGGTGAGTGAACCAATTTTGATTTGAATCTGCACCAGCAAAATATGTGGGGTGGTGTTTTTGTTTTAGAAGAACCGACATTTAGCAACTTAAGATGAGATAAAGTAGGTATTTTTAATTTATATTTTTGATGATCAAACATTCATAAAAGCTTACTAGAAGTGAAGAAGATTGTGGATGGTATATTTTCAGGTCCTTTTCCAAGGAGGTTGCAAGTGAAGAAACTGCTTTTCAAAAAAACCCCAAAACTCAACAAAACAAAAAAGCCTTTTTCACTCTCTTAGTATTCTTTAAGTTAATTCCTGTAGGGAGGGAGGCTCACTTTGAGATGAGGTTTCTGATAATAGGGTTACATAAGGAAGGAAGGCTATTGATTCCTCTCTCACTTGCCCTCTTAAGAGACTTAGGAGAGGTACTTGTTACTAAGGAGCGCATTGTAGAAACAGGCTGATGGAAGAGTCAGTGGAGAAAAATAACTGCTCTGAATGTTCTGTTCCTCAGGGTGATAACGTGCTTATCAACACATACAGTGGAGTGTTAAAGATTTCAGACTTTGGAACTTCCAAGAGACTTGCAGGAATCAACCCCTGTACTGAAACTTTCACTGGTATGTTGCCATAGGAGACTCCTTCCTCACTTGAACTGTGCCTGTAGGGTCAGAACCTACAGCTGCTGAACTTTCATTGACTTCAATATAAATGGTTGCTGCAAGAATAACTTTTTGAATACTTAAATCTTAAGATACATACTGTGCTTGCATGTGCTGCTTAGAGAGAATGCTGTTTTGGACATTCCACTTCAGATGTGAAAGTCCTCTACAACAGAAAAGCTGTGTCTTCCCCACCTTGCACCCACACCTGTCCCTTCTGTGCACGTGGCTTTTTCATCTTGCTGAGCAAATGCTCACTTTTGTCATTTGTTCATGACTGGCTTGGATGTCCTGGCTTCATCTCCAGAGTTGCTTTTTTCTACAGAGCCTGTAATTAACTTGTCTTCATTCTGCTTGATAATTTGATTTGTATGTTAAGTCATGTAGTGGCACTGCATTAAATAATTAGGCAAAATGAGAAGTGACTGTTATTTTAATTCCATCATATGATTTTCTATTTCTGCTCTAAATGGAACAGAATGCAAAATGATGTGTGAGGTTGATTCCTTTACTTCAGAAAAAGTGTTCATATCACCTGCTGGTTTAGGTTCAGATTTTGATTTCCTTTTCCTCTTTGGATGCAATTCAGTGATCTGCCTTATGTTAATCTTAATCTATAATTCAGTGAATAAAAACTGTCTGATCCAAAGCTCATTGAAACTTTTTAATGACATTGACTTTGAAAAGTGATATAGTCAGATACTTTTAGCACAAGTAAATTTTTTAATAGTATTCTGAGATTTATATAGACTGGCTATGTAATTTTTTTGAATTTTTAATAATAGAGTATTTTTTAACTCTCCCAATATTGTTCATTCTTTGGCGATTATGTTCCTCTTGTCCTTTAACTATCTATTTGCATAATTAGTGCACCTAAGTAAAAAAAATGAGTATGTTTTAAACCAGGTACCCTTCAGTACATGGCACCAGAAATCATAGACAAAGGGCCACGTGGCTATGGGAAGGCTGCGGACATCTGGTCTTTGGGATGCACAATCATTGAGATGGCAACTGGGAAGCCCCCTTTTTATGAGCTGGGAGAACCACAAGCAGCTATGTTTAAGGTAAGATATCTTCCTTGTACAACTCAGACCATTATTTGTAAACAGGAAATCTTATGGCTTTTTGGAGGAGCTAGGATTGGAGCCTGCAGGAGAAGGAGATAAAGGAAATGCTTGGTTAGTGAGGGTGTTGAGAAGCAGAAGCTGATTCACCTGAGTGGGAGTGCTGTGTCGTTTTCAGAGTAGTGAAGCAATAGCAGATACTCAGCAGCCTGGATGTTTAAAAAAACAAACAATAAAGCAGTTTTCTGCTTCATGAGAGCCTCTACTTAGAATTGTGGGGTGTTTATGTAATTGTTTCTGCAATTTGTCATGGTTTTTTAACAGAATTAATAAACTAGTTACAGAAAGATAACATCAAAATTTGCCAACAATATGCCACTTATGATATCCTAGCACGTTTGGGATGCTGCTTCGTGTTTGGGAAAAGAGCGTGTAGGCCATTGTCTCTCCCTTTTATTTGTCTCAGGTGGGGATGTTTAAAATACACCCAGAAATCCCTGACTCCATGTCTGCAGAGGCGAAGGCATTCATCCTGCGCTGCTTTGAGCCGGATCCCGATAGACGAGCCTGTGCTCCTGAGCTGCTTGTGGACGAGTTCTTGAAGGTCTCGAGCAAAAAAAGAAAGTCACCATCAAAGCTCTCAGGTGAGCACTTCTAAACTCAGTCTGGAACTCTTCTCTGTTGATGTTAGTGTTGCCTGAAACTGCTGGTTCAGTCTTCAAGGTGAACAGGGCAGATCTCCATCCCAGATGAGCAGTCAGTTGTGACCCTCTGCAGAAACACTGCTGTGGCAGGATTCTGTTACCATGCTGTCACAGGGGTGATGTATAGAAAACATTTCTGATAAGATTTCTGAAAGTCTGTTTATGGTTTTGTGCAGCTTTTGTGTTTGTGGATTTTGCATTTTTTTAAATGTGCAAATGTTTTCATTGTAAGAACGTTTGCATGGAGTATGTTTTCTGTCAAGTTAGAACATGCTATTGAGCCTCAGGGAAGTTCTGTACGTGAGCAAAGGATCTTTGTCCCATAGCAAACGTGCATAAGCTGCATTATTTTTGTTTCATGTACTCGTCTTCTTTGGTGTTCTAAGTTACGGAAAGTAACTGAGGAGTTGTGAGACTACAAATGACATATTCTATGTGTATGCATATAGACATTTGAAAACGTCTTTTAGCATGATACCTACAAGAAATAAAAATACCAGGTAAAAGGGGATGAGCAACATTGGACATTTGAGCATACATTCCATCCCCCTCCCCCTGGCTAAAATTAACTCGAAATCACAATAAATTACACTTCTAGAGATTGCAGTCAGGAGAGTACAGATAGTCCATACAAATAGGAAGAGAGTTATCCTTCAGACTGTGCTTGTTTTCTCAGTTAATTTCAGCACATTTCACTTTGTTTTTTCTTTGCTTGTCTCCCACAGTCCTTTCAGCGAACACAAATGGTGAGTTTCAACATAACTTCTCTATCAAAACATGACTGTGCAGATAATGTGGTTATCACTCACCCTGGTGTGATGTGTCACACTAAAATGCTGCAAAGAGAAACGGACACCATTGTGAAAATAAGTGACCTTTCTCTGTTAGGAACCTCTAATTCATTGTGGAAATTTCAACTGCTATTTGTAATCCCACCTGACTATGGCTTAATTGTCTAGGCAAGTGGGTCGTACAGGCTTGAAGAGCTGCATTGTTGTTTTAGGGTCATTTAGTGGAAATCTGAACAGGAACCCAAATCCCTCTTTTATGGTAGCAATAGGGCCAAGGTTTGTGGAGAAAGAGAACTGATTTTTGTTAGGCTAAATCTGTCATTGAAAAAAGTGACATGTATTTGAGACACTGTCAGGCCTGGGTACAGGGTAGTCATCTCTGAGGAGATGAACTGAGGAGAGCAAGGGGGGCATGAACCAAACAAACACATGATTACATTCATGCTGAATTGCTATCAAAGGACGATTTGAAATGTGCACACCTGAGATGTGTGTGAATAGTTCATTGCAGCAGTAATGGGTGCTGTGGATTTAAAAATGGAAGTTATGACTTAACATGCACATTTATTATTAATCAAAGACTACGAACTAATTGAACTTGTACAAAACAATTTGATAAAGAAGTCTATCTTATGTGTTATAGTATACATGTACCTACATGTATTGTATACATAAAGATACATATTTATGTACACACATAAAATGAATATCTTGGAAGGTGCTTGAATGACCCTGTAGGAGCATTGTGCTAGTGCTGGGAGCGTGTCCTGGTGGTGTGAGATGCCCATTCGCTCCAGTGGTGACATAAGGGAACTTGCAAACAGCCCAGCTTTTCCAAGTCTCAAGAAGCTTTTGAATAAAAACATAACTCAAAGATAACTCTATTCCAGGAGGATAAGCTTTAGGAGTTCCTTGTCAGTTTCGTTTTAGTATTTTGTATTGGCGTGGAGGAAGACTGAGTCTTTGTTTCCTCTTAGCGAATAAACTTTTCACTTCAGAACTGTGGTGGCACTATTAAATTCTAATTTTTTAATATCCTTATACAAACAGAGTATCTTCGGAGTATTTCCTTACCTGTCCCTGTTCTGGTGGAAGATACAAGTAGCAGCAGTGAATATGGTTCTGTCTCTCCTGATACAGAATTAAAAATTGATCCATTCTCTTTCAAAACAAGAGCCAAATCCTGTGGAGACAAAGATGGGAAGGGAATCCGATCCCTTTTTCTAAGGTAAAGAGCTCTCTGGCATTTATGTCACGCAGTTGGTTAGGAATGTGGACATTGGGGTGTTTTTTGTAAAGTTTCTTTTCACTGAGTGTTTTTCATTCAGCATCCCGGATGAAAATTTTGAGGATCACAGTGCACCTCCCTCACCTGAAGAGAAAGATTCTGGATTTTTCATGTTGAAGAAGGACAGTGAAAGGAGAGCCACTCTTCACAGGATATTAACTGAGGACCAAGAGAAGGTGGTGAGGAACTTGATGGAAGCATTGGCTCAGGTAAGGCAGCAAAAATTTTGTGCAATTTGAAGACTTATCTGCAATTACCTGAAACTTCTGAAATTACACATAGTAAAGCAATTTAAAAATAAAGCTTGATTACATTAGAAAGCATAGACAGTGTAAGCTTTCATGGTTTATTGTTTTATTTGGGCTATTAAAAATAGTCTTTAAAATTGTTTATGCTGCATTAAATATGCCTTTTGGTTATTTGTCAATGCTGTATGTATACCTGGGTATTAGGGTTGGCCAGACAAGAAGTACATATTTTCATGATAATATGTTTAGTTGGGTTTTTTTTTTTCAAATGGGATTAACTGAGGCTGTCAGGTCAACTTGTGTGACATAGAACATCCCCAGGAGGTGGTTACTTGGCTGCCTTTTCAGAGTTCTGTCTTCTGGCTGACTGTTGGATGAAGGGAGGTTCAGGTCTTCTGTCCTGCTCTGGCCTGATGTCAGGTTATGGTAGAAAAAACAGGACTGCCTAGTCCAGCATTGCCCTCCAGTGAAGAGCCATAAAAAGGGGAAAAGGGGGTTGAGGAGAAGATATATTGCAGCTATTCCTCAGAGCAGCTGGGAGCACATATGGAGGGGAAGGAAAATGGAGTAACAGTGGGAGCTGCAGCAAATAACACAGTCATTGCAGAGTGACCTTTTGGCACTCCTTTGTGGGGATGATTCAGTATGTTGTGTCAGTTCATGGTGACACTGAATAAATTACCTCATGACCATGCTACTAAATGTTGCAACACCATAACTGGATGACATGATTTTTTGTTCATGTTTGTAATGTGTGTCTTAGTACTTAATTGACTCACTTTGTACTCAAGGTTAATGTTCCTGCTCTAAAACATGTTTATAAAATGTGACAACTCATCCTCTAAAGATAGTACTGTTTAGAAACTGATGCAAGCCAATCTGCTTCTTGTGCCTAACCTGAAGAGTTCTATGATTCTATGATTCAAACTACAGTGCTGCAGAAGGCACATTTCAGAACAGTCATTGAGGTACTGTATCCTCTGGGTCAGCAGGGAATAAACTCCAAGTAAAGTTGGCAAGAATGATTCTGTGATTTCCTCTGTGAAATATTTCAACAAGGTCTTTAAAGACTCAACCAAACATTCCCAAAGCAAATTAAGCAGATGACATTATCCTTCCCTCTTGACTTCATGCCCTGAAACATCGAATGGAGACATTTCCAGGGTCAGATTCCCAGCTTCAGTGGAGTTACAGTGCCTGAAAATCAGTGCTTGTCAGCAGAATAAGAATAAACAACACCCTCTCTAGGAGGGACTCAATATTCTGGTTTGAGAACACCATTTTACAGACACTTGCTATCTGTAACAGGAGTAAAGCAATTTGGCCTGCCCATCTGCAAACTTTGTCCAACATAATTCACATGTAAGAGTCTCTTTCTTCCTAATGCCTTTGTCTGATTATACTGGCTGTCAGTCTTATTTTAGGAACTATTTTTCCAATTATGCTTCTTAGAATAAACAAACAAAGCATAAAAAGTTTAGGCTTAAGATTAAAAACTTTATGCAAATAGTCTTGGAGGAGACTGAACAATCAAAAAAACACAATGTTGTTTTTCTATAGCTATGATAGATAAACATCAGCAACACACAGGCTACTTTTCAATGTTGGTATCAATACCAAAAGACTGGAAAATCTTGTAACACTGAAAGACCATCTGTGCATGTTAGCAACTGCCAAATTTGCAACTGTGGTTTCTTCCCTGCTAATTCCATATTTTTCAGATAGATTAATGGGCACCATTTCTCCAGAATAAATAAATGTGGAAGGCCCGCCTCCCCCCTTCACTATGCCTCATCATTTTACTGGTTCCCCCCACCCCCAAGAAATACATTAATTACAATTTTTCTGCCAGTTCATTAGTAGATGAGAATACGCCAGCATTAGTGTGAAGTCTGTGCTGATAGCAACCTGCTGAAGGTGGAGGTGGCAGTGAAACTGCTCCTCTGGTGACAAGGAGCTGCGCTGTTGGATTTGCAGTTGTATTTAGCCCTCCCTCAGTATAAACATCTGCACATGTCTTCCACTTGCTCAGGACTCTGCAGCTTTTTCTCACATCTGTTCTGCCAGAAGGAGGTCTGTATCCATCATCTCTCTCAGCTGCCCTGTAAGTCTGGGCTGCAGATGGTAGTGCTTTAGTTAAAACAGCCACCAGACTCCCAGCACATTGTCCACCTTTGGCCAGACAGCATCTGGGATCTGGCAGCTGACCTGCTTCCAACTCACCCATGGTTGGAAGAAAAGCGTTAGGGCTGGCCCAGGGAGCACATCAGCTGCTGGGGTCTAGTTGTGTTCCACCCTGGAGCAGGATCTGGATCTCGACAAAAAGACTGCCGAAAAGCTTAATTCTCTGGAAAATATTTTACAGTGGACAGGATTACATTTGATGGAATTGTTTCTGTCATTTTTCCTGAACATCTTCCCGTGAAATGATTCCTTCTTTTCCTACTCTGGTAGCTGCCACTTTTGCTTTCAGCTACTCCTACTTTAATTAATTAAAATTTAAACGGTGGTTTGTTTTCATTAGTTAGGTGATTTTAATGGTACACTAACTTTATTATTTACTAGTTCACTTTGGCATTAGGCTGAATCAAACCCCTTTCCCAGCTATGCAGTCGCTTTGAGTTAGGTTGGAGAGTTTGTTTTCCACAAACTTTGTTTTGGTCAGTCTATCAATGTACATTTATAAAGCTGTGTGTGTGTATACATAGTATTACATATATTTGATATTTATTTTGCTTAAGTATAGTCTCACAGACTGCTTTGGGTTGGAAGGGACGCTAAAGATTATCTAGTTTTAACCCCCCTGCTGTGGCCACAGTCAACAGGAGACTTTCTTCCCAAAGGTCAATATTGAATAAACTGCTTCTTTTATTTGCAGGTACTCCCAGCCTCTGCATGAAGAAATAGCTTTGCATAAGCATCTCAAACATAAGAACATTGTCCAGTATTTAGGTTCTCTGAGTGAGAATGGCTTCATTAAGATATTCATGGAACAGGTGCCAGGGGGTAAGTTGTGGGGGAGACTGGTTTGGCAATTGGTGGGTTTGTTTTTTAAACATTTTAAATGCATAAGAACCAACAGCACTGCAGCAAGGTATCTTTCATGCAAATGTAATATTCTTTAATGTCTCTCCCCTAAACTAATGTGGAAAGCAGTGTCTTCCAAGTGCTTGAGTCCTCTCATTCAGTATTTAGACAGGATGTGCTCCAGGTAGAGCCCAGCTCGGTGCTATGGCAGGCGAGCTCCTTGTACCTACAGGTCAGAGATGATCTGGGGCCATCCTGCTAGAAAGCAGGCCCTAGCAGGTTGGCCAAGTGGGTTCTGATCTGCCTGCTTGAGGAAGCCTATGCTTTTGTGCTGCAGCTGAGGGCAGTGGACATACTGAGACTCTCTTCTGAGTTACTCAAGGCTGTTGATGATGCAAGTAACCTGGAGAGGCCTGTGGTTATAGAAGAGGTGGCTACACTTGGTATAGGGTTGATGTTTAGTGTTGGTTTGTGGGGTTTTTTTGTTGTTGTTTGTGTTGTGGTTTTTTTCCTTCAGAGAAGAAGGCAGAATTTAATTTGATTTTTACTCTCACTTGTTTGCTCTCCAAAATTACAGGCAGCCTTTCTGCTCTTCTACGATCAAAATGGGGACCATTAAAAAATAATGAGCAGACCATTGGCTTTTATACCAAGCAGATTCTTGAAGGATTAAAATACCTCCATGATAATCAAATAGTGCATCGAGATATAAAGGTAAGAATTTGCAGGGAATTTACCTGGTAGTGTTGTGTAGCTGCACAACCATTTATTTGTCCTCTCATTAAAAAAAAGTATTTTCTGAAAGTTCTTCACTGTCACATTTCTTCTCTGCTGTTCTAACTGTGAGTTAGGTGAGTGAACCAATTTTGATTTGAATCTGCACCAGCAAAATATGTGGGGTGGTGTTTTTGTTTTAGAAGAACCGACATTTAGCAACTTAAGATGAGATAAAGTAGGTATTTTTAATTTATATTTTTGATGATCAAACATTCATAAAAGCTTACTAGAAGTGAAGAAGATTGTGGATGGTATATTTTCAGGTCCTTTTCCAAGGAGGTTGCAAGTGAAGAAGCTGCTTTTAAAAAAAACCCCAAAACCCAACAAAACAAAAAAGCCTTTTTCACTCTCTTAGTATTCTTTAAGTTAATTCCTGTAGGGAGGGAGGCTCACTTTGAGATGAGGTTTCTGATAATAGGGTTACATAAGGAAGGAAGGCTATTGATTCCTCTCTCACTTGCCCTCTTAAGAGACTTAGGAGAGGTACTTGTTACTAAGGAGCGCATTGTAGAAACAGGCTGATGGAAGAGTCAGTGGAGAAAAATAACTGCTCTGAATGTTCTGTTCCTCAGGGTGATAACGTGCTTATCAACACATACAGTGGAGTGTTAAAGATTTCAGACTTTGGAACTTCCAAGAGACTTGCAGGAATCAACCCCTGTACTGAAACTTTCACTGGTATGTTGCCATAGGAGACTCCTTCCTCACTTGAACTGTGCCTGTAGGGTCAGAACCTACAGCTGCTGAACTTTCATTGACTTCAATATAAATGGTTGCTGCAAGAATAACTTTTTGAATACTTAAATCTTAAGATACATACTGTGCTTGCATGTGCTGCTTAGAGAGAATGCTGTTTTGGACATTCCACTTCAGATGTGAAAGTCCTCTACAACAGAAAAGCTGTGTCTTCCCCACCTTGCACCCACACCTGTCCCTTCTGTGCACGTGGCTTTTTCATCTTGCTGAGCAAATGCTCACTTTTGTCATTTGTTCATGACTGGCTTGGATGTCCTGGCTTCATCTCCAGAGCTGCTTTTTTCTACAGAGCCTGTAATTAACTTGTCTTCATTCTGCTTGATAATTTGATTTGTATGTTAAGTCATGTAGTGGCACTGCATTAAATAATTAGGCAAAATGAGAAGTGACTGTTATTTTAA